TTAGCATACCCATGGGATTTTGATAACAAGTTTCCAGAAGCCACATAATTGATGAATTAAATCTAGAATATTTCTGAGAACTTCAAAGAAAGCTGAAAGGGCTTTTAAGAACTAAAATAGATGGCAAAAAGTCCTTGCACCAAAGACCTTATTCATGAGAGAGCTCTTTAGGTCTTCACTTAAATTATTCATGCAGTGTTAATAAGTTTGTTTATTCTGTTATCCTAGAACATAGCATGTTAGAAGTAACAGAGTAGGGTGAAGCAGGATCCTGTTAAAACAAGGAATGAGTTGAGGTAACTTGCTAATAAGGAGGATGGTAGAACTATAAAAAGTAGCCATAAGAACCAAAAACCAAATGACTATCTGAGGTCTTTTAGTTCAGAGGCAAAGCACCAAGAGGCTGTAAAGGTGTCACTCTATTATAACTTAGTACAATAAGTGAGATTTCTAATGGATCATGGGATATTCAGCATCAAAAGGAACCTTAGGGGTCCTTGAGGCCAACTTCTCACCCTATCAGAACTCCTTCCACAAAATCTCTGTCCAGAGGTCATCTAGTTTCTGTTCTAGAAGTCTTAGTAAACAAAAGCCTCAGAAGCAGCCCTTTTCATTTTAGGTAGTGTTTTGTTTAACTGTGAATTCTCTCGTCTTAAAATTCTACTTACATTTATAGTTTAGTTATCCACAACAATACAGACTAGGTCCAATTTCTTTTCCAATAGGTATTTGAAGATTTAAAGACAGATTTTATTGCTCCTCCTAACTGTTCTCTTCTCCAAGTTTTTATTTAATCACCCATGTATGTAGCACGATTTCCAAACCTTTAATCATTTTAATCATCACTTTTCAAATATACTATAGTCTGTCAATGTTACTCTTAAACTGTGCACCTAAAACTCAACTCCAGGTTTGTCTGGATTGGTGTGGAATAAAATAGAACTAGTAGTACCTTTAACTTAAGTCTAGGGCTTATATTTCTATAGCCTAAAAATGTATTAGAAGCTTTATGATGTTGGCTGATATTATGCTTGAAGCAAACTAAAATCCCCTTTTTACATACTGATGTCTTAAAGAGTCATTAATAAAATGTAAAATATATGTTGTTTAACCAGAAGGAAAGAATTCCATTTAAATACATCATAGGCAGTGAGTATTCAATAAATATTAACGAAAAAATCAACAAATTCAAATTGTTAAATTTGAAAAATGGTTAATTTTTTAAAACTGTTAGTCCTGGATGGGATAAGTATCTACTTCTGTGGAAAATCTGATTCTTCAACAACACTGTGTACATTGGTATTACTATACACTTCCAAGGAAAAGAGGGACTTTGAAATAGTGTATTTTTAGTATGCCTAGTATCTTTCATCCATGGAACTATAAACATTATCTCATTTATCCTGGAAGCATCAATGTGTAGAAAGGAACAGTAATAGTTTTGCACATTTTTAGAGAGGGAAAGTGATGTGAAAGATGTAAATGCCAAATTTAGATCATTCAGTAAGTATACACTGGGATAGTACATGAGTTTCCAGATTTTTAAAAAGTCATTGCTT